AATTTCTAAAATTGTTCCTATTCTTTTACTTCCTTTTTTATTTAAAAATTGTTTCCAGATGTAAGTCGGTTTTAAATTCAATAAATTTATTTAATTATTTGGCGTTGTCAAATGTCAATGCAGCAAGTTGTTACATAGCGGCGGTTTGTAAGTGCAGGGGTTTTATACACAAGATTAACAAATTACTTTGTGCAAATGTTTGCCTACTTGAGTACTGCAACTATAAATCCCCATCATTTCTTACAAAAACGTATTAGAGACCTTGTCTAACGCCGCTGTACTTGGCCGCTCCACGAGCTATACAAATCTCTTCATATTACAGAAAAAATATTGCACTTATTTATCTCGCAAGACCGTGTAAGAAAAAGTGTTTTACATTATGTGGGTATTTTTTAATCTAAAAATTACTGTGGCCAGGGTTGGGGCCGCATAGAAAGGGTTGGCCGCATGCAGCCCGCCGGCTACAGTTTGAGTATGGCTGCTTTAAACCCTTCTATTCGTGTTTTTTGTTAGCTCAATTGCCTTTTCATTTTGAACCACACAATTTTCGAAAAAAAATAAAAAAATCGGAAAGTTTTAAACGAATCCTCCCCATTTTCAATAAGGAAAGAATTGCTGTCCCGAAGCAACTTTTCCTTAAATTAGGGTTTTATTTCGAAAACAAACCTGTTTTTTTTATTATATCGTAAACTATTAACTTGACGTTAATTTTAGATATTATAAAGTTTGTTTCTTATGTAAATCTGTATAAAAATGTTTCTAAAGATAATTTACCTAGGGGAAAAATTATTGCCTCGCAACTTTTCTTATTTTTTTTTAAACTTTTAGTTCTAGGTAGATTTTTTTAACAACATTTTTATCTACATTTCGTCACCCTAATATAACAAGGTTGTATGTTAAAAAACCGAAAAATTTTAGTTTATGCTTCTACAAGGTTTTATGCAATCCACCCTTGACATACAACTTGAAAATAACTCTATATATATATATATGTATACATAGAATATACAATCTATAGAATTATTTTTAAGTGGTATGTGAAGCGTAGGCCACGTATAATCCTGTAGAAACATAGACTTAAATTTTTCGTTTTTTTTAAACATACAACCTTGTTATATTAGGGTGACGATTTACATAAAGAATTAATTTATAATGACTAAAACTCAAGTTAACCAATTTAGGTTCCAGCACTTGAGAAGGCACCACGCGAGAGCGAGAGCTCTTTTAAAAAACGTAAAAGTTTAAAGATTAAAAGCAAGAATAATTTTTAAAATGTGCAAACCAATTATCATAGAGTGCAAACTAAAATGGTGCAACGGTCAATGAGGAGTGAAGTGTTAAGTGATGAATGAGTTAAATGCCACCTGTCATTGGACGCTTTTCACCAGTGAAAAGCGTTTGTCCAGTTGGACAAACAAAGGATGTCAAACAAGAGGGGAGGTGGCCATCCGCAAAAAAATTGATAAGTAACCTTAAGCATATGCATGACCGAACAAATAATCTGCAAATTAAACACAACAGATATCTTTAAAACCCTAAGAAAGGCACACTGCGTAGGACAATAAATCTGTCAACAACAAATGCGTAAGGCAAACCCAAACGAGACCAATAATAAACACTAGACACACAAAATAAACTAACACATTAATCATTATAACCCTAACATAGTAAAAAAAAGCATAATAACCAAACTACTGGATTTGTAAACATTAGATAACAGAATAATTGCGCTTGTCATTTGTTTAACTAATAAATAAATGCAATACTTAATTTTGGAATTTAAGAAAAACAGACAAAACTCCACCACAAAACGTGCTTGGCCAACACAATAACTAAAACACCAAAAGCTACAAGACATATCCAGCTACTGAACTATCTATTGATGGTTTTCGGCATCAAGACTGAGGACACGGGCAATGACAATAACGAACAAGACGAAGAACTCGACTAGGAAACTACACCCCTGCAGCGAAATAACAACTCCCCAACTCCAAATAGTAATCCCAAATGTTTGGAGTAATACTAATCGACTGGTCTAGGGGGATTCCGCGTCGTACTTAGTTTTAAGTCGGCGTAATTGTCCCCCAAAAACCAACAAACGTCTATCCCTCCCGTCCCTCCTCCTTTATACCCTACTGGGCGTATAGCATCGGCTCGGCGAACCCGAGAATGGCTATTAAAACTATTCGCATGTCGCTCTCGAGCCCCAAATAGGGGACAGTACGGAACGCAATGGACATTCGCACCCAGCAAACACGGGTGAAGCCGTGCAGTTGCTGGGGGCGAACAAAAATCGGCGTAAGTAAACATAGGCCTGTACGGGGTCCGGGAGTGATGAGGCAATGGGGCTGGTTATACGTCTCTTATACTCATACTCATACTCATGACTAAAACTTAAGTTAACCGTGATAATCGAAAAAAAAAGAATTTTACGACCTTAATGGTAAAGTATGCGCCTTGCTCCAACTTTTCTCTGTATCATATCTTGAAAACTATTAGTCCTGCACATTTACATAAGGAACAAATTTTATTAGACAAAATGTATAAGTACATAAAATCAATAGTTTACGAGATAATCAAGAAAAACTGTTTTTCGTGATTATTAGTAATAATTTATTACTAGTGCCCATACAAACAAGATTCCGAAGAAAAATCTTGGGTATCCTATAGGATTTTTTTCCGAAGAAAGGCCCTTTTTGCCTAATTTGATAAGCGATTTTCGGTAAACGGACAAAATTGAAAAAAATGGTGTTGTACCATTTGTTGTAACCAATATATTGTTAAATATTATTGTTACCTATTCATATGGTGTGTGTTTAAAAAAATTGTACTCTTTTAGCATGCTATAGTATGCTAAAAGAGTACAATTTTTTTACAAATCTACATGGCGATCATATTGAGAAAACTCTCTTTTTCTTAGATTTTTTTTGTAATTGTTTTAATATGTTGAGCTATTTATTAATTGTATATGTGATTGTCAAAGAGGCTTTGCCCTCGTAATAATAAAGCAAAACAGATTCCGTTGGTTTGGACTTCTTGTTGCTTGGGTGCGTCCACATTCCGCTGCCATCATTTTCTCGATATGTGGTTCTCCTATCTGCTTTTTATTTTTACGTGATACTGACGAGAGAGGAGAGTCGACTGAATTAAAGTATCTCTAATAAAGTTCGAAACGAGAACTGGCGCAATTAAACTGGTGTACCGGCAATTGCAAATGCATTATTTATAGGTGTTTTTATTAAATTTGTGGCAGCATGCACGAGTCGTATATTATTGCGGGTTACAGGCTAAACCTGTAATGTTAAACAGGATTCATTTGGTTTACAGGATATAATTATTTTAATGTTTAATATTGTCTTTAGGTATTGTTATGTTATTTAATTTGAGTAATTGAATCGCATGTTATATTGGTACTTACAATATTAAACTAACAAGGACAGCAGATTCTAGGAATGATTTAAAATAAATTTAATTAATAATTTAATTTAAATATATTTCAAAAGAGAGTTATGATAAGTTAGTTTATGTGTTAATTCTTTAAGAGTTACTTTCGCATGTAAAATATAACTTATGGATGAAGTCAACTGACACGATATGAATATAATATGATATTATATTATAATATACCTAGTAGTAGTAAACCACATGGTTATTGGACACTTAAGGAATATTATTTATTTAAAATTTATATATGCCGTTGTTTTAAAGATTTTAGTTTTTTTCTTATAAATATATAAAAAGAATAGTTTGTTTGTTTAAACTTTATTTACGTTTACTTAAAAATAAGAATATTTGAATTTTTAATAATAGTTTTATAAAAACATGCAAAAAAGTATAGTAATTGGACACATGGACCATAGTTATTGGACATTACACGAATCATAGCTAAGCTTATTCTTTATGATTATTAATAATTAATTAGTCGATTAATATTTTTTTGATGAACACCCAATAATAATATTAACAATAATAATAATAAAGTATATTTATAACAATGTTATTTTAATATATTAATATAATAAATAATTATTATGGCTTATAAACTGGAAGGTAATTTATCAATTTTTCCAAAGTAACGGAAAAATTTGAATTGGACACACGTTAAAAACAGATTATGATTTTGGGTCACAGAAGGTTTAGATTTTCAAAAATAAATACCATTTTTTACACCTTATACGTATTCCTTGTTTTTAGTTGAACCAAGCGCTATTTAATATTAATTGAGAGGGGATGAGGAATTTTATTTTTAATGAGTTTTGTTGTGGTTTTGAATCTGCATGTTTTCTTGATTTAGATGTAAAATGGTAATTCCAAAATGACGGGTGGGTCATTTTTAAGTTTTGCAAATATCTTTAAAATTATTATTTTATTATCTATAGGTGATTAAATATTTTATTAATGCTAAAGTAAGTAACGAACACACGCATTTATATATTTTATCCCAAAAATTGACCCACCCGTCACAGCCAGGAAATGGCCAAAATTTCGGATTTCTTTGTCCCACCCGTTACAAATTATACAAATAATTCGTTTTCATTAGTCAAAGCAACAAATCCAGCCACGTTTTATATTGTTTTAAAAATCTAAATAATGTATTTCACATTTACCTTTTAGCTGGGTTATTATTTTAGGTATACCTATAATAATAATTATGGTTTTGGGATAAAATAACCTAGTTAATAGGTAATCAAAATTACTTATTGGTTCAAATTGATATACCTACATAGATATATAATATTATTTATAGGCAATGCAACATCTAACAATTTGTACCAATAAGTAATTTTGATTACCTATTAACTAGGATACTTTATTTCAATATAAATATATTTGTGTAATAATATTATAAAATAATTAGGTAGGGAAGGTTACTAAATCTACCATTTAAGGGGGAATTAAGTTCAGTCATTAGCATGGCATTACAATAACATTGTTTAACAATTATTTGCTGTTAAATAACCAAAACAAACCCGTATGTTTTTAATTAAAAAAATTCTCACCTTGTCATTTTTAAAGTTATCCTTGTAGTACTTATTGCCATTCTTTAAGACTCTAAAAGTACAATTCACAGGACACAAAAGTTTTCACACACAACACTAAAACAAAATAAGAACTGTCACCTTAATTACAACGAATTCCGGTGAATTGAAAAACACGCCAAACAAAACACAGTCAGTAGATGCAACCGAGCAAAACCAACTCAAGACGGTCACTCTCGAGGCAGCATGGCCAACTAGATGCTACCCGGCCTCCAAGAACACCTCTCCCCTCCCGCCGCCGCCGCTGGTCACCGGCGCTCATGATTTGTTGGTTCACGGTGTGCCACACGCTTGTTTACCTGTTGCGCCGTTTGGACCAAGGCTTAAAATTGGGCTATAAATATTATTATTTTAGGGCATATTCTAGGCCGTGCGCTAAGGGTCATTTGTCCCTCTAAAGATTTTAAATCCGAATATTACTTCAAAAAATATTAGTAATGTAACAATACAATATATTATGTTTTTAAGAAATTTGCATATCTGTGTTAGAGCCAAACTGTAGTCCACTTTTTTAATGTCACGCTTTTGTCATTGGTACAGGCATTTAAGTGCTGCCTGTTTATCATTTGAAATATCAGAAAAATCATTGGCGGATTTTTGAATAGGAAGCTAGCCTAGCTAGCCTATTTAAAAAAAATTTTAGTACGCCATGGGGTTTTATTTAAATAATAAATGGTTACTAATACCTTAGAATTAATAGAGATTAATGCTAATTTATAAATATCTGCCGTATTGCCTAGTTCAGTGGTTTCCAAACTTTTTCCTATTACTCCCCTTTTTGAAATAATGATACACTGTGGCCATGGGCGCCGAAAGGAATTCGTCGGGGGGGGCCTTAAAGTTTTTTACAATTTTGATAGATGTTATTTATAATCAAGTTGTACTGTAGAAGTTCACATTAAACTTAAGTCAAATAAAATATCATCTTTATATGTATATTTACCTATTTATTTATATTGGTTCATATTGCAAAAAATACATCACAGTTTTTTGGTAAATATATAAATAACTCTTGGATTCCAAATCAAAATTTATATGAACTTTATTGCACGTATATAAGATTCCATCAAAGATCTTTGGAATATATTCATATATGAACATAATATAAAAAAAAAATGATCTGTGGCTTCTGGTTTCTTCGCCATAGGGTTATGAACGGAATCAGTAAACTGAGCTTCTGATTTCTTTGAACAGCCAGTCATTTCATTCATTTTACAACTGGAACATCATTAAGACGCCACAAATCTAAGTTAAATTATCTAAAATAACAAATCTAATTTATTTAAAAAATAATGAACAAATGATAAGGATCAGCACTTACCGTCAAATTATGGAGTACCGGAATTTTTGGGTATGAATTTCCAGGGGAGGCCCCCCCCTGCCCCTATGTAGCAGCGCCCATGACTGTGGGCCAGAAATTCTCTAAACATTGAAAAAGTCAATTTCTAATAATGATGGAACAATACGGTTTTTATGCTAAAAACGGTCAAGTAGGCCATTAAGCTTACAAAAACACCAGGAATATGTCTGTGAGTTTGACAAATGTCGGTAAATTTCATATTTATTGTCTGGTTTATTTTGTTTAAACAAATCGCTTAAGTTTAAGACATTACAGTTAAAGGTGGATTAACTTTTTGACATACACTATGAGTGGGCCAGATGCAGGTAAGTTCAAGGTTTTATGGATTTCTTTGCAAATTTTCAAAAATTAACATATCACATGGATATTTCACCAGATATATATCGAGATCTACACTGAACTACACGTTTTTGTTGATGCTCTTAAACTCTCCAGTACTCAAGCTTTATTATCGAAAAAAAAAACGTTTTCCAAATAATGCCTATCCAGAAGAAAACGCAAGATTTTCTTTGTGGTCTTTTACAATTTGATTCAAAATGCCGCTCTATTCGGGTATTAGTTGAAAGGTTATTAGGCCTAGATTGTAAAAGACTTTTTGAATATGTGATCTGTCATTTTGAAAGTTTTGAAGTTTTTTTTCAAAATGTCATATTTAAGGCAATTTTAGTGTTTTTAATGGATTTTTAAAACATTTTTTTGTTTAATCGTTTGAGCTCTGGTGCCCAGTACTGTCGATACCGGCGAAGCGAGCGGATGTGTAGTTCGAGCGCTCGGCGCCGATCCACAATAAAATTCTTAAAGAAACATAACTATTATATACAGTGTAGTCGAGTAAAGTACGGTGCGAAACAGTGCTACTATTTGGGTGACTATAGTATGTATACATAACGGTACAGGTGAAATCAGGGTACCTGTTCTCCGAGGGGTTAATAGAAACATTAAATAATTTCTCAAAAGGCAATCTCTCAACGGTGAACATAGGAGTGAGGTTCGTGCGGACACGAAGTAATAAAGTGACAGGGGACAGGTCAAGGAATCACCTATTTAAAGAAAAAAACAAGTCTAACAAAGAGCGAAAGGGATCATCACCATCACCATCACCAGCCGACTCTGATAAGTATTATTGCATGACCTAATACGCAAATCTGTAAAAAAAAAACTGGCAACAATTAACCATTGCCGAAAACAGCGTAAGTGTGCGAAAAGGAATCAAGCAGGAACGTCGCAATATTATATTATTGTATTATATATATTGTATAATATACGCGACTTGCAACTCTGCCACAAGGCAAAGCTGGAAGGAAGGTAAATAAACAAAGCGCCCACGCAATAACATAACGTAAATAAACCATCTATTGAAGCATACGTTACACGCCTGATACCGGGGCCGTTTCAGATTTTAATGCGAAGCACCACAGGGCCGGCTATTTATTTTGTATTAAGCTAGTTTTAAATTAAATTTGAAAAAAAGTATTTGTCACCATTAACATTGCCCGTATTCATTTTATTAAACATAACATTTATTTTACTTGAAATGTTAAAATAACTTTAAAATATGATTATGTTAAGATCATATTTTACTCTTTAAACAATTGTTTTGTTTTAATTACTATCATTGCAAAATTGTATTAAAAAGTGTTAAAAATTCTTACACGGGCAATGTTAATGGTGATAGGTATCGTTAAAGTGTTTATTGGGATATCTTTAAAACCTATGAAGGGCACGCGGCGTGGGGCAATAAGTCTGTCAACAGCAAATGCGTAAGGCGGTCCCAATCGAGACCGAAAATAAACACTGGACTGACAGAGTAAACTAACATTGATCACATAATTCTAACACATTAAAAAAAAAGGGCCTAATAGCCAAACTCGAGATTCGTAAACATTAGACAACAGAATAATCGCGCTTGTGATTTGTTTGACTAGTGAATAAATGCAATGCTTTGGAATTTGATAAACAAAGACGGAACTCTACCACAAAACGTGCTTGGGACAAAAATTATTAAAAACAACTGACACACTTTACCAAGGGCAGGAACTATCTGACCAGGACACGGACAATGACAATAACGAACAAGACAAAGACCTCGACTAGGAGACTACACCCCTGCAGCGAAATAACAACTCCCCAACTCCAAATAGTAATCCCAAATGTTTGGAGTAATACTAATCGACTGGTCTAGGGGGATTCCGCGTCGTACTTAGTTTTAAGTCGGCGTAATTGTCCCCCAAAAACCAACTCCCTCCCGTCCCTCATCCATACCCCACCGAGCGTATAGCATAGGCTCGGCGAACCCGGGAATGGCTATTATAACTATTCGCCTCTCGCTCTCGAGCCCCAAATAGGGGACAGTACGGAACGCAATGGACATTCGCACCCAGCAAACACGGGTGAAGCCGTGCAGTTGCTGGGGAAGAACAAAAATCGGCGTAAGTAAACATAGGCCTGTACGGGGTTCGAGAGTCAAGAGGAAATGGGGCTGGTTATACGTCTCTTATACTCATACTCATACTCAATCGTTTGAGCTCTGGTGCCTATAAATTGGCAGAGTAATTTTAAAATACCCTGAAAACAAGAAACATTTATTATTAAAAATCAAAATAGTTCAGTATTTTTTAATATAAAAAAATATATATACAGTGTGACCCATTTGTTTGAGACTCACCCCTGTAAAATCTTTATTTATTGTGCGATTTTAACCGGATTTGTTTTAAAGTGTAGATCTTGATAAACTGTATTTTTGGAGTAAGTACGTGATAAAAAATAGTATACATTTTTAGAGTTCCGTGCCCTATAACTAAGCTTACGTCGTAATTAGTGTCCGGTTGAAATTTTTACAGAATGTTTATTTTTAAGGCGAATAATCTAACATATAATAATAAAAAACAATAATTACATTAATTATAATTATTGTTTTTTATTATTACTTATATGTTATATGTTATTCGTCATAATAATACACATTCTGTAAAAATTTCAACCGGACACTAATTACGACGTAGCTTAGTTAAAGGGCACGGAACTCTAAAAATATATGCTATTTTTTATCACGTATTATGGGTACCCAAGTATGAGGCGCCGTCTGTGTCATAATTATGATTTATAAAATATATAATAATTTGTAAAAATATAAATATTTTGTTTAAAATATAAATAATTTGTTTGAAATATATATATTTTAACCTATTTTCTAAGATATATACCTATTAGTTTTACTAAAATATATAATATTTTAACTAAATAATATATATTTAAAACAGTAATATTAATAATATAAACTCAATAATATTAATATAAACTTAGCTTACAAGACGTAACGCCAGGAGGCGCTGGCAGCTTTATTTTTAACTTGGCAACGCAGCCTTTTTTTCATTTCATCTGGGAATTACTGTGGTGTAAATTAAATAAATCTAGAAGATACATTAAAAATAATAATACCTCTGGTACGTAATAAAGCACTTGGGTATAAGTATTAGTAAAACTAATATATATCTAAGAAAATAAGTTAAAATATATATATTTCATACAAATTATTTATATTTTAAACAAAATATTTATATGTTTACAAATTATTCTATATTTTATAAATCATAATTATGGTACCCAAATACCCAAGTGTGTTTATTATTAATATTATTATAGGATTAAAGTAACCCCGGCGCATTCGCCATTTTTTTAAATACTTCTATTTAAAGGTGTAAGAAGCAAACGGTGCATTTTAGCATGCAAATAAGTGCAGAATTGGGTAGTTAAGAGTCCAAAATTTTTAAAAAGTTTTCTCCTAATGTGAAAATTAACGAGGTTTG